TAGTAAATCAAGAGTTGAGATAGGGACAATGAAGCCGTTTTGACCAATAATGAATAGTTTCGACACAAAAAATCCTAAAGTTGAAAAATCTGGATTCTGAACACCCTATGATACATTGATGAAATCAGCTCTTCATGGAGAATATGAAGATACAATGTAGTACAGGCGGTGTTCCATTTGAAAAAATCAAGTGGTACTCTCTGTAGATCGTTTGTTCCGAGCACCCTGTATTTTCTGATGCAACGGGAACAAAATTCTGAAAAATCATTCTAGATGATTTTCCAAACTTCCAAGTCGGTTCAAAAATAAGTGAGCTAGAGGGGGGATATTAATGGTGAATCACCCTGTACAATACCTAGCAGATTCCGCTCGAATTATCGATAATGTTTACAAATGATGTACAATTTTTTAAATAGCTTATAAATTCAGGATTGATAGCTTTTGTACAATCTAAAATGTTCACAAATTGATGTAAAATTCATGAATTCGGTCGAACTGTTCACGAATGGTTGTAAAATTTGTTTTGTCGCTTGTACATCCTGGAATTTTGATACATATAGGTGTATAACTCGTATTATCGCTTCTACATCAGGACATATCACGAGTAAATTGCTAGTACATTCGGAAATGTTGACTAGTTGTAAAATTTCTTATATTGCTTATACATCCGAGAATGTTCATAAAACGGTGTGATATCGCTTGTTCGTAAGAAGATATCACGGATTGTTCACAAATGAATGTACAATTTATTATATCACTTATACATTTTGGAATTTTCAGAAACGTATGTAAATTTCCTGATTCTAGTCAAAATTTTGATAATTTTCACAAGTTGTTGTACAATTCCTGATATTGATTGTACATCCGAAAATGTTCATACGTACGTGTACAACAAACATATTGCTTGTACATCAGGAAATATCACTGGTTAATGTGACAACTGCTAGTACATTCGAGAAGGTTGAAAAATGAATGCATAAAATGTTCACGAATAGATCTTCAATTCCTGAAATTCCTTGAACGATCTATATGTTCACAAACTGATTTAGTTTGGACATTCGGAACGATTCATAATGAAAATTTGTACGATTCTCCAGAAGTATTATACAAATACTCTCGTTATATCGCTTGATCTTCAGAAACCAGTAATTTGTTCACAAGTGGTATACTTTCCATTTTCGATCGTTCACAGAAGAAACATTTCGAATATGTACCTACATATTTACTGTTTTTCCTCAATCTAGTTTCTTGTTGTTAATCTGGCAGGAGTCAAATATAATTGATTTATTCAATGTTCAGAATGATTTTTGAAATTGTCCAAACTTCTTCAAAAATAAACACTCACGGATGGACATCCCACAATTTTGACTCCTTTTCCTCAGGAACTTATTTTTGTTTGAAAGATCGCAATTTCAGTGTCGAAATGTTCTTGAATTTGTTCTAATTTTCCTGGACCATACCAGATTTTTATATTCGATAAAACAGAGAGCGTGTCGAAGTCACGAAAAATTTACCATGAAAAAGAATGTTTTTTATGTATAGGGCGAAACATGCAACAAACTTCGACGCGCTCCTCAACCAAATGAACACTCAATATACTTTCTGTAGTGATTGTCCTTAAATATTAAGCATTTATATCGAATAAGCCTTTCCCATGAAATGTCAGTGACAACAAGCAGATACAGGGTATATTCTGCTCAAGAAACGATAATAAAGATGAAATGATTTCCAACAAAACGTATTTACATCGGTAAGTAAAGTACTCTCCAATTGAAGTGGTGCATCTTCGATTCTCATCATTATTCATTGAATGAAAAATAAAAGTGGAAACTCTTCAAAAGGAAATCGGCCCTGATGGGAAAAACAGAAATGGAATTGACATCCGATTGAAAATATTTATTGATTTTATGAGCTTCGAAAAATTCTATATGGACCATTTCAATTGTGGCGTAGTGTATAATATATATTTTCTCAAAGGACCAACACACACACACAAGCGAAAAAGTATTGCTTCAAATATGTACTTAATTTCAAGAATATTCACGTATTTCAATGTTATAATTTTGCAAAAGTCCATTCACTTTGGTCCAAATATCAGCGATTTCAACTGATCGTTTTGCATCCATTAAATTCAGAGTTGAAATTATCAAAATATCATGAATTTTTTTTTCAGTTAAATTACAGTACACTCATATCACAGTCCTACAATATATTTATAAGTAACAAACAGTCAACTTTTTCAATAGTGGCAAAAATAGCAAGTAATGGTATGTACAGCGTGATTGTTTTTTTTTTGTTGAGAAATATGGTTTTAGATCAGCTTTGTCCCTGATATTTATAAAAAAAGAATCACCCTGTATGCACTGAATCAAAATGCAAGTCCAATTATAGCAATCCACCCTGTATGTCCATCATTTGAACCACAGGTCATCATGTTTGAAGTCAAGTCAAATATATATTGAAAAAAAAATGGAATTTAATGGAATTGTTGTTTAATTGAGTTGATATCGAGAGAAAGAAATGACTGCTGATTTTTCCACTATTTTTGAAATTGAAATTTCTTGAATGCTGAATTCTAGATCCCCTATATATAAAGTCTCGAGAGCAACATAAAAATCTACCACAAATTAAGGACCAAGCGAACCAAAGAAAAACAATTGAAGAAATCGAGCTAAAACAGTCACCAAAGCATGCACATATCGAAAAACTCCATACTGGGTGTCAAAAAATACGCAATAAACAATTGATTCCTAATAATTTCAAACTTATAAAACAAGAAATGCAAAGAATGATTTTGCACTTTTGCGTCAAATTTATTTTCTCGGTAACTTTGCCTGTACTATCGTATTTTAAAATCCAATAAGGTGGTTTCCATTATTCCAATTATTGACATGTGAATAATATATGACACTTTCCAAGTTTGGGACGTTCTACTTTACTTAACCACTTGCGTAAAGTGAAATAATTCACAACTAGTGATGTTATGTTCATTGTGTCATCCAAAATCCTGTTGTCAAACGCAACATTCTGTCGAATTAAGGAAACTGACAAGCGAAATATTGTACCAACAAAAATCTCAATGAAATTCGTTGAAGTTATCAATCTGATCAATATGGAATACATTTTCCTCGCCAAAATTTGAAAAAAAAAATTGTACATAACACGTTAGGTAACGCAATATGTGTAATTATGTGATTCCGTGGGATTTAGCTACGTTCGTCCCGCAGAATCCAATCGTAACAGAAAAAAATATAGTGTTAAGTAAATTCACCGGCTAAAAAAACAGTTAGCAAATAATTCTGCCAAATTGATCACCCTGTTACTTCTTTAATTCTTGTCCGATACTGATTAAATTTCGACCAAATTGTAGATTTATGTTGTGTAATAACTTTAATTTGTTGATTAAGCTGATAGCTTGATCAGTATATAGGGAAATCAAAAAAATACTCTTTCACCCTTGAATTCTTAACGCTCTGTAGCAGAGGTGAGTGGTTGAACCTAGCATTGTCATGTGTTGGATTGAAGTGTGATCACTCCTTAACACAACGGTTTTTGATTCGCATCCATATCTTCTTTTTCAAAAAAGATACCAGTGTTTTGAGAAAATATAGATTTTCAAAATTGTTATGAACAATAATTCAGAACCTTCTCCAACCTTCTTCTTCACCATGTTTTGGTCTAAGAGCACTATTTGATAAATACTCTCAAAATCTCTCTTGATATTATTGATAAATACTTGTTCAAAACAAATTGAAACAAGGCCCATTCATTTTGACATAGGGCATTAGTGGTTGAGCGTGAAATAGTAGGTTTTGTTTCTTCCTGTATAATGATGAAGTTGGAAACTAGAATCCAGGTTAACATTTTGAAATGTAAGTCTACGATCTGGTTCGAATTTCATCGTAATCGGACAAGAATTAAAAATTCATTATTCCAGATTTTTGGAGTTTCTTCCATCGTTTCTATAGAATAAAAATATTAATATTACTGCAATATACGTGTAGTAGAGACAAATCAGATGATTTGCCCCAAAATGTCACTACGTTTGAAGAATTTCCCTATCAGAGAACCGAAAATAAAAATTCACTTGCTCATCAGTGACAATTTGTGATAAAGAAGGTTTGGAGAAGACAAATGAAGGTATATCGGAAAAATATCTGATTTTCGCTTATCTATGGACGTTTCGAGAACGAATCTGCTCCCGTTTTCAACATAAAAAATGGATAATTGTATGGCAAATTCGTTTTCGTCTTGACACTTCTCGATTGTCACTGAGGAAGACGAAAACGAATTTGCCATACAAATGTCCATTTTTTATGTTGAAAACGGGAGCAGATTCGTTCCAGAAACGTCCAAAGATAAGTGAAAATTTGATATTTTTTTATATACACTCATTCTTCTTCTCGAACCCTTTTTTAATACAAATTGTCACTGACAAGCTAGTGAATTTTTCTTTCAGGCTCTCTGATAGGAAAATTCTTTAAACGCAGTGACATTTTGGGGCAAATCATCTGACACGTTCATTGAAATAATATTTATATTTTCATTTTATACGAACTAGGAGAGAAAATCCAAAAAATTTGGATTAATGAATATACCACCTCCTCGGTTAACCTACATATAGTGTTTAGGAATTTAAAAAATTACAGGGCGACCAATTAGTTTAATATTTTTGGTGGTCGGTTTTTTTGCCAGTGACTGAATACATTTTTCATGGAATACCTCGCGAGTGTGTCTCTTTACAATATAATCAAATATCTATGTTGTATTTCCACCTTTAAATACATGAGTACCAATGCAAAGCTAGTTAAAAAATAAAGTTGATTGAAAAAGCGTTTGAGCGTGTATTGTGACACCCTGTATATCCTAGACCGTACAACTCAAGCACAATACCAAGAGAGGGCGAAAAAGAGACAATTTTTTTACACGAACAAAACGCGAGTCCAATATAAAGGGATGCCTAGAAAAGTGAGAGAAAGAGGGCCACGTTCGATGAGCTATCACACCAAAGGCCGGTAAATTTCATTCGGATGGCTGTTCTGGTTGCTGCTGGCGTTTTGTCGAGACGAACATTGCTGCAAAAAAAAGAAATTCTCATCAATAACCCAAAATTTTCGAATTTATCGCAAAATATATCATTCATTTTGTTCGATTATTCGAGATTTTCTCTCTTCGTTTCTATAAAGGAGGGAAAATTCAATCGTTTGTCATTAACACTTCGTTTTGAAGAATGTTTGAATAAGAGAAATCTAAACTACGCATTACTGATTTCGTCGTACCACAAAATTTTGTCCCTATTAAAATATGAATAGCTTTTCTCTGCTTTGAACAATTCGAATTCGGATTACACTGTTCGCTAGCCCAGTCCTTCAGCTATAAAAAAATCATGATCACAATACTAGATATCGAAATCACATTTATCCAAAATTAATACGCCTGAACAGATCAAAGACTGGAACCTCTTACTATGGTTTGTTGACCTACAATAACTTCAACGAAGATATTGAAGACCTGAGTATGCCTCGTTTCAGATCTGTAATAAAATCGTTTTTGCTGAAGAATGCTTTTCAAAATATTCAAGATATTATTGTTCCATTAGAAATTTAGAAATTCGATACTAGTTCTGTATAGTGTACTATTTGTTGTATACTTTTATCTTTTTACAATATTTTGTGCTGTGTTTTATACTATTGCAACATGTTTTTTTTGACGATGTAGGATTTCTTGTAAGTTTTTTAAGCAGTGTATATCACTGGAGAAGACTCCACTTGGTCATAGTCTGTATTTCCAGTATATCTACTGCTCATGCAAATTTCAGAATTCTAACTCGACAATTCTGATCTTCATATCTCTTCATCTGAAGTTTAAGCTTCAACATGATCCTGAGATTTCAAAAATCGGTTGATGAGGAAAAAAGTTATGACTGCAAAACCAAAAAGTCAATTTGTCGAGATCACTCTGTAAATAGAAGAGATGAGGAGACAATTCGAGAACTATCCCAAGATAATGAGATCATCTACATGCCTCTACTGTCAAAGTTGGAAAAAAAGTGTTTCTTCTCTACATGCCTCTACTGTCAAAGTTGGAAAAAAAGTGTTTCTTCATTTGGGATACTTTTGAAATTCCCGAATTTTTGCACAGTTCCAAGTAACACCTTGTAGCGATTTTATGTGAAGAACCTCATGTTTTGAAGAATTACGAGATTATAGCTGGAGGACTGGGCTAGCGAACAGTGTGATCCGAATTCAAATCGCCCAAAGCAGAGAAAAGTTATTCATATTTCAACATAAAAATAGCAAAATATTATTTTCTCGAATTGAACAATGTTGTAACCACCAATATCTATAAAAACGGTATTTGCTTGGAACAAGGTTGTATACGACCTATACAATCCGCTGACATGATAGTAGGGGCTTAGGAAATTTTGTATGGTGATTTCTGGTGTCATTTCGGTTAGTCAAGTTCAGAGAGTTTGTGGAACAACGTTGTATGTGCTATCACCTCTTCTAGTTTCCCGCACGGTTTCTTTGTTAACATGTGATTGGTTTGTAGTTTATCGTCGTTATATAAGCAGAAATGGACGTTTCTTTGACAGACTCAGCTATGACACAACTAAATGATAATAAAAATTCTTTTCCTCTTTTCACTAGTGCTTCATTTTTGATCTTGAAACAACGTTTTAACCACCTCAGTCCCCTGGAATAACGTTGTAACCGACGTGGATATATAACGTTGTTTGATTGAAAAAAGAAAAATATGCTCATAAATCATAATTCTGCATGTGTTCAAGTCAATGGGCGTGTACACCTTAGTAGAACTTTTAACTCAAACCATGTTTATAATGATCCTTTTATACATAAATAATGATTGACGACATAATTCGATCGAAAAATTAACTGAAATGTTTTATTTTTGGACATGAATAATAGTACCTTCTGAAAACGGACACCATCTTATGACGTAGAAACCTCATCTCGCCATAGTTGAAAGAAAATACCAAACGCCCGACGGAGACTGAGGCAACTGATATATTAATTATTTCAACTGTGATCTCGCGCTGATTCCCTCTGTCAGAAATCATGTATCATTCATCTTCGTCTGGAAATAGTCTTGTTTCAGTATTAGGGTTTTGACGTCACATCATCGCCTCGTTTTCAGAGATCCGAGAAATCGGGGATTTCAATAATTTTTTATAAAACGTAGGGAGCTCACAGCAAGAAACGGTTTGCGGTGGTGAGCTAGTTTTGGTGAGTTCTATCGAATTATGAAATAATATTTTTTCCTCCGATTGGCAGCAAATATTGATTTTGCTGACACATATCAATCAGCAAAGTATTACTTTTCCTGCCTAGGCAGCAAAGTGGTTACTTTGCTGATTGATATGTATCAGCAAAATTGAAAATCCATAAATCGTTTATAATTTCCTTCATATTTCATCCGAGACTTCTCCGGCAACAAATTCAACTTTATATTTGTTGCCACCTCCCTTATTAATGGAGGTGTAAGTATACTTCCAGGTCGCTATCACTGTCCATTATATAATAATTTAAATATATCGATATTTTTTCGCACAACAGTCAGAAATTTCATGAATTGTCAAACCAACAACTGCGATTTCTATCAAATTCTATTTTAATTGAATACAATACGGGAAGAATAAAGAGATTGTGGGAATTGTATTAATTCGCGAATATAATATTCTCCCATATCATTATGAACAATCGGAGAAAAAATTATATGTTCAACTCGGCAGCAAAGTAGATTGACTGCCCTGGCTGAATTCATAGCCGAGCGTAGCCTAGTTAAACAAATAACTATTTTGTGATATAAGCCCATTATGACTATCCAGTCAAGTTCTTCTTTGCTAGTCATATCAGGTAAATATTTACTTTATTCGATGGAACAATCGATCATTTATAGTTCTTTTCGGTTTTTAAAAAAAAAAAAAATTTTTGGCGTTTACGACGTTGTTTCAGCTCAGGGTTCAATGGGTTCATATCACAAAAAAAAATTATTTCATAATTCGATAGAACTCACCGCAAACCATTTCTTGCTGTGAGCTGCCTACGTTTTATAAAAAATTATTGAAATCCCCGATTTTTCGGACCTTCGAAAACGAGGCGATGATGTGACGTCAAAACCCTAATACTGAAACAAGACTATTCCAGACAGAGATGAATGATACATGATTTCTGACAGAGTGAATTAGCGCGAGAACACAGTTGAAAGAATTAATATATCAGTTGCCTCAGTCTCCGTCGGACGTTTGGTATTTTCTTTCAAATATGGCGGGATGAGTTTTCTACGTCATAAGAGGGTCAGTTTTCAGAAGGTACTATTATTTATGTCCAAAAATAAAACATTCCAGTTAATTTTTCGATCGAATTATGTCGTCAATCATTATTTATGTATAAAAGGATCATTATAAACATGGTTTGAGTTAAAAGTTCTAATAAGGTGTATACGCCCATCATTGTCTTCGTAGTGTGATAGACTTTGATTTCGGTCCTCCGATTATATTCAAATGAAATAATGCTCATATTTTCATTTTATAAAACGAGTTGAACATACCAAATAATCTAGCAAAATGAATGTCGATCAACCTACAGACAGTATTCAAAATATAGAGTGTTCCGTAATATGTGGCAAATAAAAGGAATCTGTACTCACCGCCTGCTTTTTTTCCCACGTCTTCATGGCCGACTTGTACTTTTCGAATTCGTGACACCAATCCGAGTAGATCTTCTGGTAGTCGTTGCTCTTTGAGGGCGGTGAGCATCTGTGCGCATCCACCGTCACGTTGTAAGAGCACAACAGCGACGCGCCCATCCAACAGTCGTACCTAAAAGTGTATTAAAACTCCTTATTTATCAAGTTTATTTCATGCCATGGTTAAACAGGGCCTACTCTATCTAACCGGGCCGCATATAAGCAAAACGTACATCTATTTGGCAAACGGCCTGTATCTACGCTTTCTGATTGGTTGATGCCAAATAACAGTACGTTCTGCCATTGTTGAGTCAGAGTCATGTACGTTTTGCGCGTGAATTGAAAATGCATGTGTATGCCAGATAACAGTACATATTGTTGGAGTCGCGTCAGCGCCTTGTACGTTATTGCATTAAATTGAAACTGCAATAACTGCATGGGATATCAAAAATTTATTATAATAATGATAATACAAAATCGAATATACTCATCACATTCACACATCGATAGTGCTTTCTAAAAACATAAATGTACAGGGTGTCCCACGACAAATAAGACAGGGAATACCTCGAAACTCAAGAGTAGTAGAATATTGTAATTTTGGGGTCGAATATTATATGACCCAATGAGCTTTACGTTTTCGGTCACGTGACATCAGATTCAAAATTATTAATGGGACAACCTGTTTATTTTGAAATTAATATGTTCCTCTCGATAAAACAATTCCAACAATCTATCACACTTGTAGCCTAAAACGATTAATTCAAGAACTATACCAGGTACTTCAATATCTTTTGTCCCACGGCGATTACTACAAACGTCTGAAACGAGCAGTTGCCAAATTATTTGAGTTTAGGGTGTCAATGTTTATGTGGGCAATCCTATATTCATTGTGATGATTAAAAGGATGCAAAATTATATTAATCATTCATATTTTATTGAAGAGCGTAGTCAAAAAACTTTGGGACAAAGGATATTGACGTACCTGTAGTTCTCAAATTGATCGTTATAAATAGAGACTACAATAATTGTAATCGTCTGTTGAAATCGTTTTATCAGGAGGAATGTGAAAATGCCAAAATATACAGGTTGTCCCATTAAAAATTTTGAATCTGACATCACGTGACCAAGAACAAAAATCTCATTGGGCAACGTAATATCGAAAAAAAGGTTCTCAATTGCTTTAATTTTCGACCCCAAGATCCACACGAATATTCCCATGAATACTTATTGTTCAATCAAACAGTCACGAAAGCTTCCACTTGTGAAGTATCTATATATACATACAAAGTCGCGCGTGGTCGCGCTGAACAATTCCTATTGCTTCTACCCACCCCTACCTCCTCCAAACCCCTAACGAAATCTAACAAAAAAAATCCTCTGTTACATCAAAACTATCATAAATATCACCCCACTTTCAGCATAGCACAGCACATAATAATTAATAAAACATTATTACTTAGCTATACTTACGAACACACAAAAAGTTTTAAATTGGGAGCACTTTCACGTACGATCCATTTCGTGTGATTTAACCTAGAAAATTCCCGAATCCCCATATCACATTCTTCTAGATTGTGTAAATCTCCATAAACTGTTATATTATCATTGTTAGTAACTCCATTCGTCTTATATTTGAAAGATTGGGGTAATTCCATATTGAAATAAGGTATTTAAATCAAACTCAACTAGGTATTCAACTCAATGATAGGATGCACGTGCTGCTTGCATAAGAATGACTGACCATTGACCAAAAACAAAAACAAAAGCGCGAACCCTATGCAGATGGCAAAGTGTACATCTATTTTAGGTATCATACGCAATTCGCACTGCCTATTTGGCGGCGAGATCTGCAGCAAATTGTACATCTATTTGGCGCCGGTATAGCAATGTGTACTGTTATTTGGCATCAACCAATCAGAAAGCGTAGATACAGGCCGTTTGCCAAATAGATGTACGTTTTGCTTATATGCAACCGGGCCGGAGCATCGCTTTCGGGACGTCACACTAGTAGGGACAAAATCAACGCAGTGGAAATTGTCTCTTCCGTTTCATTGATTTACCTCGGGAAAACGGTCACAGTTAGCGAAAAATATCAAGAGGTCAAATATGTACAGAAAAGAATTTTCCAGAAGATGAATCAAATTTCACTGATTTACGATCATTAATTTCAGAAATATGGCATATCAAAATTAATTGACGCCATTCAGAATTGTCCTTTTTCAAACAGCTACCAAAATTCCATTATTCAATTCACAGAAATGATTCAACCATGAAAAGATTTCGCATAGTATCTAGATTGACTGAGTTTTTTTTTGAAATTCCCAAGGGCCAACAACAAGCCGATATTTCAATTCAAGTAGAACGATGATTCAGGTGTTCATTACAGAATAGTTCAAAAAGTTCGGACGCCTCCCGTGCTAATCCTATCAACTATGGATATATGCTGTCACTGAATTTTTGTAGGAAATTAGATTGCCTACAAATCGGTATCATATACATCCACTTTATCTCGGAGGGCTTTAGCAGCGTTTATCTCTAAAGATAATCAGGACGCACTTTGATGACGTTAGAAATCCTACCACTCGAGTGTGTTATTACACAAAAACGCCTATTCGGTATCAATTATTTTCTGCTGAAGAGCATATATTTGAATGATAACGTTAAATTCATGAAAAAAAAAAAATGACTTGAATATATTTGCAAACTATCAAAATTAAAAAGAACAAAATATGTGGAGTTCATATGAACACAACCTAACAGAAATAATTGAGAAAATATATGTATCTCAACAATGAGAGATATAAAAATGAATATAACGAACTGAATAACAAAATACCCTGAACAACGATATATGAATGAATGAGGAAAAAAGAAAAAAAAAGTTGAATCCTGAAACATAACAAAATAAAAAAAATTTATAGATATTACAAAATGAAATACACTAATAACAAAAAATATATATACATCATCTTAATCACAAACTTAAAATTGAAATCTGAACTATATATCCTGAAAGTTTAGTGATTTTTCTTAACTTTTTTTTTTATTTTGCAATAATTGTTCAACAGAATACTTGAAATGGTTTTAGAGAATGTTCTGATGATTATATCAGAAGACCCACAACTGCCACATTGATTCTCGGAATAATTGAGGAGGGAATTGATTTTAATTTCTGCTAAATTCTCCAAAACTTTATGTTGTGACTGTTGTGATTGTTTCGGATTTTTCAGACACCAATATTAGTTGGTCTGAACCATACGCCATTTAGAAATAAAATGAGCAATAAAAAGTATATCGCCCTTTACCAGTCCTTAAGGAATTACCGCGAAATCGTAATACAGCGAAATTTGGGTAGGTAGGTATAACGGCCCATTTTTTACGCGCTCTTTATATTTAATTTCTTTCGGACTCATTGTAGGTAACTCTACAATTTTTTCACTATTCAATTTATTCATTATCGTAGTTTGATATATTGAGATAGTTTCATCTTATTCCAATTCCAAATTTGCAAAAAGTAGTATTCTGTAGTACAACGTCCTGATTTTCAATAAAATGGAATTTCGTTACGACGCAATAACTCGAGATTGATTCATCCTATTGGATTCATTTTTTCACCAAAAGTTGAGGAATTTGTTGGGGATCATTTCGTCTCGATTGAGTGTGCTTCTTAAATTTATAGTAAATGAGCTATAGCCTATCAATTACGAACGCATCAGTACGGACTGATGTGAAATCTCAACCTACTAGTGTGACGTCAGCGTCGAGAGAGAGGGGATAGACTACTGCCCGGTGAGATAGAGTAGGCCCTGGGTTAAACCACTCATACTATAACTACACACGACAATGTTCGCTCGGTAACAGCCGAAATTGCACACTACTAATCGAAATTTGGTGTTGAACCTACACTTTTTAGATGATTCTGCATTGAAGTTCAATGCTTTTTAATGATTACAATAGTTTCTTCATATTTTGGAACTGGCGATTACCCACGAATCAGCCAATCATATCAATATTCAACTGACTATTGTGCTCATTTTGGAATGACTATGTTTCCATATTCGAATTTGCATTTCTTCGTGAAGTTCTAAACCATTAAAAACGTATACTTTTTTCACATTAACTCAAATTCAGCTTGAAAGAAATCAAGGAATCAGTTCTGGTCTTTTCACCATTCTGCTGTCGTCATTGGTGAACGTTTAGAGCTGAGACGCGATTTTGTGTTATCGCGACTCTAATTTTTCGGTATCATTTTATATGTTTGAGTATGCGAAATTATACTCACTGCAATGAGACTTTATTGTAATATTGGCTATGTACTTTCGTAAGTACAATGATACTTTTTGTGATTCTAGTATCCTGATTCAGGCGATAATAAATCCACAGTGGACTGTAATATAAGATATCCACCTGGCATCAAGAGTAGCAGGAATTTCGACGACAACAACAAAATACGGTTTTTTTCGAATAATGTGTGAGATTTCGTGAAATCGTCTATTCCTATTGAAATTTTAAAACCAGATATTGACTATATCTATCTACAGAAGGATGTAACAAATACTAAGGAATACGTGATCTTCCAAAGCTGTTCGATTATGCACGACTATTTTTGACCACTTATTGATATGTGCGATAACTGGAAAACTCTGATAAGTTCTCAACAATCAATCTGAAATAGAAAGAACGCATATTTTGAACACTGCATACCGATTAAAAATCGTTTAATTTGCGAAAATGTTATCGCATCGTGAAAAATGTTAAAAATTCAAGTGGTCCACTTGTTTCTGCGATCACGACATTTCAATAACATCCAGAATAGCTAATATGCTCAAATTGAACCACGAAATGACTGAAAGTCCAACTCGAACGATTTCGGAGTCGATAATATCAATTATTTCCAGGACATTAGTAAATGAAAAGTTTACACCAAACCTCTAACTGATAGCTGCGTTTTTATTGAGAAAATGTTCTGTTCATCTAATTTATTAATTTGTTGATTATGATTGATAGAGGTAATGGCGATCATCTGATTGTTCGATTATTCTTCTTCTTCGGATGTTTGAATTCGAGCAACAAGACTCATAACACCATATTATTATTCATAGTAGATTCATAGAGTATATTATCGTTTTCCACCTTATATAGATGAATTGAATAATTTAAATGACAAAACATAGCCTATTCAGTGTGAAACTGATATGATGATGCTTCAACTTATCCCAGATAGCACACAATCGCCTAGGGTCAACCTCAATGTGTCGCCAAACGCCTAGAGAGGACGTTATGTTTTCTACAACCTAAGAACATCATCAGGCGTAGATTTAGCGCCGTAATTGTCCTAGAAAAGTTCTTTCAGTGACAGCCTGAGGCTGCAGCGAATTTCGTGCCTACGGATGTCTTCAGATGACATTCCATGAAATAACGTGTCGACGAAGCCAAAAGGAAGAAGAAGAAGAGAACTAGAAATACTAGAAGTGAGGTTATGTCCCATGATAATATTTCTCTGAGAAATTGATGAGATAATAAGAAATACAGGTAATTAATTAATGAAATCATTGATAGTAGGTACTAGACATGAAATATTAAATATATTATTTGATTTCAGGAGGTTATTGAGAACACAAACTTGATGATATCATCAGAGCAGAGATGTTTCATTCCAAGATATTTTGGCTTCTACGGAATCTATCAAACATTGTATGAAGGCTTGAACTTTCAGTGGGATTCAATAAAGATAGGTACCTACCTGAATCAACTCATTGATAATAGGTAGTGGACATGAAATATTAATACATTATTATTTGTTCCAGGAGGTTATTGATGAGAACACAAACTTGATCAATATATCATCAGATCAGAGATGTTTGATATTCCAACATATTTTGGCTTCTTTGGAATCTATAAAAGATTGTATGCAGGCTTTAACTTTCAGTATAGATACAACAAAGGTACTAGGTAGAAATCAAATCATATTGATAGTTGGTATACCTACTGGACATAAAATATCAATACATTATTTGTTTCAGGAAGTTATAGAGAACACAAACTTGATATCATATTATCAGAGCAGAGATGTTTCATTCCAAGAAATTTTGGCTCCTTTGGAATCTATAAAAGATTGTATGCAGGCTTGAAATCTCAGTAGATTCAATGAAGGTTGGTATCTGAATCAAAAAATTGATAGTATAGCTAGGTACTGGACATGAAATAATAATACATTATTTATTTCAGAAGGTTATTGAGAACACAAACTTTTGATGCTATCATCAGAGCAGAAATGTTCAAATCAAATATATTTTGGCTTCTTCTGAATCTATAAAAGATTGTATGCAGGCTTGAACTTTCAGTAAATTGAGCATCAGATAGTATGTCCAGGGTTCAGAAATCACAAATAATAACAAGAAGAAAACTTACAACAGAATTAGAACAAAACAAAAATCATCATAATGTATTATTATGTTGATGATGATTTTTCTCTGAGGAAGAAAGGAACAAAGGTAGGTGGATCAAATCATAGATATTACATGGATATGAGATATTGAATCATTGTTTGTTTCAGAAGGTTATGGAAAACACAAACTTGATGTCATCTATAAAATATTGTATGAAGGCTTCAACTTTTAGTAGATTCGCAGCATTAGGAAGCATATCCAGAGTTGAGAACTCAAAAACAACATAGAGAAATATTACCAATGGGCAATAACTTCTAGTAGTGCTCAACAAGAAGCTGAGATACATTTTTTCAAAACAAAACTTGAAAATCTTCACCATCTAGTTATAAATAATAGGATGTAAGTTTTATTTGAAAATATTATTATTCCAGGGAAATTTCGCAAATATCATGATGTAAATATTTTTTCAATAAAATTTCATTTTTATCAACTAATCCCTAGACATTTTTCAATACTACCTAAAAATGTTCCCATAATGCCCTAAACATGTCCCAGAGGACCTTATAGGGATGTTCTAAGACGTTATTAGGATGTAGAGAACGGTAACAGGAGGACGAGCTAGGGACGTCCTCAGGCTCGCCCTCGACGTCCTGAGGACATTATTGTGAAAGCCTCAGAAGGGCCTCAAAAGGTATTTGTGCTATCTGGGATATTATCGTGGAAACACTGACTGTCTTTGAAAAATATATAAAACGAACTCAAAAATACCCCGTATCTTGAACACGAAGCACGTTTGGATCTATGTTATCTATGATTTTTGATAAAAGTCTGATTCAAGAGACAGGAAGTGGATTCAAAAACTTTTCACAAGAATTGAACTGGACGTCTCTGCTCCAGAGAAGAAATCGAATCTTCAATTCTAGTAGAGTTGACTTTCAGTTGGACTCTGTATAATATGATCTCTCACCTTCCAGCGTCCGCTTCAGTGACCGCAATGATGACCAACCCGTGCTCGGACGTCTCTATATACTTGTCAGGCCGGTACTGCACACGGTACCTCCCCTTCTCCTTCGAGTAGTGGTACCACGTGACCGTCTGCGCTGCCAGCACGGCCGGCATCTTGAGGAAGCAGCCGAGATGTAGGCTCTGGCCCCACGTGACCATCATCTTCTTCTTCACCACGCTGCTGTCGCACACGTCGATCGTGCTGTTGGATACGTCTTGCAGTAGGCTGTGAGAAAAAGGGGTGATTAGACTCGGAGAATAACGTTATCGACAGGACATATGTAGGGCAGGCTAGAAAATTCGCAAGAATAGGTTCAAGGAACATCCAGTACATTTATTCGGGAATTTGCGGCATAACATGTAACAGTTCCGTCAAAATATATGCAGGTCAGATTAGAAAATCCCTAAGAGATGGTTTGGGGACTATTTAGTATAATCGAGGTATATTAGTTGAGCAAAATAGAGTATAGCGAAACATAATGAACAACTACGATTTTAACACGGATGTTGAAAAACTCATTTTTTTTTCATATTCTGGTTCCCACGAAGAGGGATATCCTGTAATGTTCAGAGAACATCGTGAGAATCAAGGGAAATAAGGTGGGAATTGGTGTTCTTCTTGAATTTCTGGAGGTTATATGCCTCGGGAACACCTCTCTTGGCAATGTGTTTCAGAGCCTCACTGTTCGTTGGATGAACGAGCCTTTGGAAAGAGATGTTCTGCAGGTCTCCAAAGTGACCACGAAGGGGTGAGAAGCCCCAACTCGACGGGTTGATCTCGCGGGGACTGCCAAGGGAAGAACAATTGTTAATATCTCAGAAGAGCATCGTCCATTTAAATTCCTATAAATATAGCCAGATTGCCCTTTTTTGGACAGAATCCAACAGTTTCAGGGTATGATTGGTTGCTGCACACCAAATATGGGAACAGTATTCCAGGACAGGTCAGATCTGTGCCTTATAGATCATAAGCAGCTGACTGGAGGGAAATAGCTCCTGGCCCGAAACAGGAAACCAAGTTTTTGGGATGCACTTTTCTGGTGATCATGGGTTCCGTTCTTTCATGTTAAAATATGATTGGATGTCAATCTTAATGGACACTCCAGCAAAAATCGATGCAAGAATATTTCCACTCACCCAGGCGCGTACGGCTTGCACACATTCGAATCCTTATCCCAGCCGCAGTACGGGTCGTGGACGCAGCGCAAGCAGTTGTCGTATCTGCGGTTGCACATCACCAAATCCACTTGCTTGATGCGGAAATCGGAGGCCACGTAAAGGGCCTTGTGCTCCTTGGAAAGCTCCATGACCTGGATGGGTTCTCCTGGAGTCACGTCGAAGACATCCAAGAGGATGGAGGCTGAACCGACGTCTTCTCTGGACCATTCGACGATTTTATGGACTCGGCCGTCGTCTGGAATGAGAATGATTATCATAGACGGAGAGCCAGAGCCAGAAAGATTATCTGAATTTACTAAGCCTAGTTTTTCCACAGTTTATTACAGTGGTTTTGTACACAAACGCACTACGATCAGTCAAGCGAAACTGGGAACCAGGTGTCTCTGGTATACTATCGAAGTTATCGTTCCTACCGAGGTAATGCAATGAATTTACTAAGGCTGAAAATCATTATACACATTGTATAAAAGTTATGAAAGCAGCTGACTGTGGGGACGGGAGCTGGTCAGTCAGTCCCAATGTTTGCAAAGAATGAATGAATTGCAATTCATTTACTACACTTCAAAATTTTTGTGATGATATTTGTTGTTATATCAATCATGGCAAAAATGGTCAGTCATCGATTCTGCGGGACAACGCAAGAAAATATGGGAGGGCAAGTTGCCACAACCCCCTGTAGGGCACTACTGGATAAAATATCCGGAATGGCTTCCTGGAGAAAAAATGACCCATTCAAAGATGAAACTACAGGGTGTTTCAAAAAAACCTGACTCCCTTGCTAGGGTAGGTAGAAAACTGCAAAATAAGTTGGGTTTGCTCAGTGAAAAAATGTCGTAACGGCATCCGTTTTCATGATACAAGGTGTTGAAAAAATTATTTTTTCACACATTTTTCACGATTATGTCGAAACTACTGGCAGCATTGTAATGAAATTTTGTATGGATGTTTCTTTAAATCTGACACATCACATGAATTTGTTTTCATATCTGACTCTCATAGAGGGCGCTAGTTACATGGTTCGTACCGAGTAGTTTAGAACATAACTTTTTTGAGGTTAGATTTTTTGATCCAAATATGATATGAACTTGAACATCATTCAATTTTACACCAAAAAGGTACTTCTGGTGAAACTCGATACTATGTTTCGTTTTCGGAATATTTAGATCTGAAAATAATGGAGTAATAGCTGATGCTGGTATAAAATGAGTTTTATTGAGTTCAATTACCTATTTATTCAGATTCAAAAACAATGTGCTGAAGTTATTGATGGAACAAAGAATCATAAGTAGAAAATTAAGAGATATTTGACTAGAAACATGAAATATTGAATCAGTTAGAGTAAGTGTTCAAAATGTCCTACGTTTCGACGAATACACGATTCTATATTCTTTTCTTGAGAATGTATTATTCTTCTAAGAGATCATTTAAGTGATGTTCTATTATGTCTTACAACACTTGACGTGAATTTACCTTTTTAGCATAGACTTTCTGCTGAAGATACAACAAAACACAGTTATCACTTCATCATTTTCAAATCGAATTATTCCGAAAACGAAACACAGTATCGAGTTTCACCAAGAGTCCTTTTTTGGTGTGAAATTAAATGATGTTCAAGTTCAAATCAAATTCGGATTGAAAAATCTAACCTCAAAAAAGTTATGTTCAAAACTACTCGGTACGAACCGTGTAACTAGCGCTTTCTATGAGAGTCAGATATAAAAAAAAATGCATGCGACGTGACACATTTCAAGAAACATCCATACAAAATTTCATCACAATGTTGCCAGTAGTTTCGACATAATATTGAAAAATGAGTGAAAAAATCATGTTTGCAACACCTTGTATCTTGATAACGGATGCCGTAACGAATTTTTTTACTGGGTAAATCCGACTCATTTTGCAGTGTTCTACCTACCCTAGTAAGGGGGTCAGGTTTTTTTGAAACACCCTGTATATACCGAAGTTAGATGCATTATATTCAATTTTTCTTGAGATATTGCGAAACAACTATTTCTATTTCTCAACTTTAACGCCCTGTATCTCGAGAACTGAACACTTGAAGATCGTATGTCCCTATCTAAGTGATTATGAAATCACGAGTGCTATCACCTGTCGAGCGTTGTCGGTTGAATTTCGCAACACCCTGTATATTAGGTATATGTAAGTATATAGGAAAATGTTAAAAGTGAATGGTTTCAAATGTCTAGGTATTTAATAGCTCACTTGTTCCGGCATAGTAGACGGTGTACTCCAATATACCCCCTCCAATGTCAACTTTGACCTTGTCGACCACCAGCCTCACGAAGAACACGTCCCTTTTGAAGAACACCGGCTTCTCGTTCTCGTGTTGCACGGCGGAGTCCATCAAAGGGTGGCTGCGGATGAAGTTCAGGACCGTATCTGGCAGGGTTTCGGTGTCGTTGACGCAGGTTCCGGGTCGTGGTTCGGGCACCTAGGAAAAGGATATTTATTGAGATATGTCGAGAACTCGTTTCTCTATAGACCGGCAGAGTTCTGGAAATAGGAACATTATTCGACATGGAGGCAACTCCTATTTGGGGACCCCGAACGAATAATCTCGATATCAAAGTAACAAATTGATATTCGAGCAAATTTTTTTCATCAGTTTCTGATTTTCCATTACTATATAATCAAACAGCATTGCGAAGGAGTGAGTTTTCAAATGATTTTCTCTGAAAAACGAAAATATATTTTTAGCCATCATTAGGCACTTGATATGATGGTATCGTTTGATGACATACTTGATTTCCTATGATGACATACTCAATTTTTTTGCGTTGTTCATGTCCACTTCACTCCATTGATGTCTGTTCTGATTTTCCGCCATTACTTTCTAAAAAACAGACAGTTGAACAACACAGGACCATCTAGTACTATGATGGCATAGTATGCCTTCACCTAGTCCTATGATGGCATAGTATGCACCTAGTCAATGGTTATTGAACCTTCATGGACAAATATGAATAGAAAGAAAACAAGCAGGACTTGAAATATCACTTCAATATTGCGAACATTTTTCATATCAGTATTGACCAAATAAAGATTATTCTCGTAAAAATTTTAAGAGGTCATATACACCCTTCAACATTAAGAGGACAACTAAAACATTCGTTATGCCGACGTGGAACAGTACAGCTCTCCAAAATATCTGATGGAAGGGGAAATATATCGACTATGCCTACTTGGGAACTATGCCTAGTTAGGCGGTTTTCCCCTGTAAGGGAAGGAATATTCAAGAGATAAATAACCAAATAGAAAAAGATCTATGGCTATGAGATCATAAATTTACACTCAATTTAGATAAATCCTCTATTATGTTCATCTCAAAGAGGGTTATACCCTATGAAAATTCGGGAATTTTCGTTTAATTCCTACGAAAAATTCCAAACTCTTTGGTTCAACTGTAGACCAGTCTAGATATCCGCAAAGGTTTACTACTACTACCAGATTACTAATAACTTTGAGTTCACTGTTGTAAAAGTGATGTATTACCTATATATTAAACTTCTTGTTCATAGATAAACTACACTCTCCTAGATGACCAACGCACATGTTAACCTCCTGTTCCATTTTCGCCATCAGCGCCTCTGGTGTTTGGTGGCGCAACTATTTCAAATAGCGGGAATTTGGAATCACTCATATTTTCGAATATTTGACATAAAGGGAAGGTTTCGTAAATAGTGGAAGAAATGAAATATCATAAACAATTTACACTGTGAAATGAAAATGGTCGGTAAATGAGAGCAAGTTATCAAAATGCATACTATTTTAATTAAGTCACACATAAACACCTGTAATGATCACAATGAAATACAACTCAACAATTATCTCAGGATTTCCAAACACTTTATCCTCTACATAAACCTGAGATTTTCTTTCCTAAAATTTGGAAAACGATGTCAGGAAAGATAATATCAAATCTCACATCCTGGCTCTCGCCACACTAGTCCAGTCTCATCATATAATCACATACGTATTAATAAACAATACGGATAATAACGGGTGCCAGGATGAAGCCAAAAATATGAAACGAATGAATATCCATAAGGATTTGGTGGCATGATACGTAGTCATCAAAGACATGCGTTTCGGTGGACAATGACGTTTACTAGCCTTTCAATCAAAGCAGTATGTGTCTGATCGTATCTCACTTTTCCTTATGGATAGTCATTTGTCTTCAAAAATCGGCTTCATGTTTCGCTATGGAAACAGATAGAGATTATCCGTATTGATTATTAATACGTATATGCATATAATATGTATATGTATCATGATTATGGAGTAATGACCATAAATCGAGAATATAGCACTTTGAAACGGTAAAACCACACTTATAGACGGGAAAAAATCACAACATTCACATCAAAGACATGCCAATCGTCATTCGTCAAACAGTATATGAACGCCATCTTGAAATCAATGCCTGCGCCTGTGCACTATCACAGATCATGCAGGGATCATCACGTCAAATGGCCACCTATATTGTTGGGTGGCTAAACTAGAAAATGGAACAAGGTCGGTCCATTGAAGTTGGAGGTCTATGCATGGAGTGTAGTTTGTTTATGTTCTTATTCCCAAGTCACAGAAAATAATAACTAGAACACAGAGCACTCACCCTACTAGATAGAACAGGTAGCCAGGCAGAAGACGATGAAGCCTGTTCCTTGAACTTGCCTGCGAAAGCTTCCTGGATGTCAGGAAGAGTGAAAGAGCATACTGCGGAACCCATGAGACCATTGGTAGAGGTGGTAAAGGTACCGTAGAACTTTTTGTCATCGTCTGGCACTTTGTAGATGCTCTCTGAAAAATGTAGTTATAAATTTCAGCACGACATTTTTCTGATTGAAATAACGAAGAAATTCAATATTATACTGTTCTTAATGAGCAGAGCTGTACCATCGTATTAGTAGAACAACGAATCGATTTTATACGAAAGGAAATCCTAAGTGTGAATACTCAAAGCCGATAGCTAGAACAATGCTTGATACTCTGAAAATCAATTGAAATAAAAATTCAGTCCATCAAGGAAGGAACATGGAAGAAACCTTATTCATAGAACTTCAAGATTCCACAACTAATAGGTTTCAATTATGTTACTGTTCTTTTAACACATTCATTGAAATAATTGATCATGCATTGTATTTTCTAGTTCGTTCGCTTATGTATTGTTCATTGATGAGAACTTTCAAAGTAATTAACGAGTACAGTGATGCTCGAATAAAACGGAATGACTGATATATTGTTTTCCAAATATGTTGGTAGGATATAAGGAATTGGAAAACGATACACAAATCATTGAATGTTGATCATCAAGAATTGAACAGGTGTAGTCTTCAAAAAGTCAGTTGAGGCACTTCCGTTTTTGAAGATGATACGCGGATTCATTAATCTGCTTTACATTTTAATAGTAATAAATGGGATATCTTCTATTGAGCTTTCCAGGTATGCAGTCAATGTGAATTGCTGCATCTCATTGGTTACGTCTAATTATACTAAATGTTGCTTGGTAACAGCTTTTTTACTCTGATAAAAAAATGAAATTAATATTGTATCATACCACATTACAATCCAGTTATCATCATGGTCAATTTCTGAAGAGTCCGCTATACAATGTGTTCCTTGAAGACATACTAATATTCAAGGGGGTGATTCTTCAACTGATTTCAAGGAAATAACTTTCCTCTAACGTATGTCCTACAAGTCTTAACTTATGAGATACAGAGTATGATAAAGTTTTGAACAGAAATCAGTTTTTCAATGATGACTGGAATAATATTGTAGTCATAGCCATTGTAGTTATTGCAGTATATTTCCAAATTCAATAAAATGCTATCAAAAGTCATTCAGGACAGCTATTACTGGATAACCGCACAGTATGTAACATTTTAAAATTTTTGCATCGTTTCCTACACATAGCAGAATTAATGTTGTCATCAGGAAAATGTATACAGGGTGGACAAAAAGAGAATCTTTGTATATGTTCAACTTTGATACCTTATATCTTACAAGTTAGGACGTTCATATGAAGTTTTATTCTTGAAAACGGTCCAAGAATCGCCCCCTTGAATATTAGCATGTCATTTGGGAACATCCTATATAGTGATTAATGATATACCTATTTTTCATTGTTTGTATTTACAAGAGATATGATAACTATCAAGTGAAGTAATTTTATCGTGCATTATGATTATATCATTACCTATTGGCGAACACTCACTAAAAAAGTTATATGCTGTGGTAATACCTCATGGGTGGTCTGGAAACTAACCAATATTCCGTGTTCTGCAGATCTTCTAAGATCTGACAGTTCAATTTTCCATTCCTGTCTTTTCTCATGTCCCAAAATAAAGATATAGATAATCTCAACCGTTTCCGTATGACCAATTTCAGACCCTTTCAAAAACAGTTTTTATTCGTGGTACAAAAAAAAAATTCTCTGTTGGCGGAAAATTTTAAAAGGATTTGCCAAAGCGTGACTGCTTGAGATTTTTTCCGTTGTCCCAATTGACATTGCAAATACAATACATAGTTCTGTTATTTTCCAATCCTAGGAACAACTCTCGATGCTCACAAGATGAGTAGTATACAATGGCTAATATAGTTAGCCCTTCGACCGGGATGCAGATTTTTATTGTCATTCATGGAGTTAGGATAAATGTACAGTGGTGCTCAAATGCAACGGAATGACCTTCAAAGTGTTCATAGACGAAAGAAATGAACAGCTTTTTGTCAGCGTTTGATACTTACGTATTTCATTGAAATAAAACGGAAACTCTCCGGGAATGGAACAGTTCAGCCTGGCCTTGAGATAAGTGGCCCAGTTCTGTGACAGGATGTTCTTGCCTCCAGTGTCCTTTTTGCACACTCTGGCCACTCGCGAGTACACGCTTTTGCCGCAATTTATGTACTCGACGGCAGTTTCTCTGAAGAAGAACAAAACGTGTTCGCCGATGTCGAAGGATCCAACGAAATTCGGCTCTGAAAAAAAAGAGAAAATTGAATACTCTAGTATAATTTCAATCAGGACGAGAGAACATAAGAACGAAAGAAAGAATAGTAGATTGTTTTATTAGGATCGAAAGTGACACTTTGTTTGACGAGCGAATTTTGCATTTGCGAGGCGGAGCGTTCAACGAAGCCGAGCGAAAGCAAAATTTGCGATGTTGTTGTTATTGAAGGAATTTTTCGGCACAAATTGATGTAATAAATTGGTTTTTATTTTTTTCCATGAAAATGAAGCAAATTATCGATAAAATTGAAGTGGCCAAAGTGTTGTATTTTCAGTTGGTCAATAGATTATAAAGAAACAGAATTCGAAAAATCAGTAGCGCATATTTTATTGGCAATAATATTTGGTAGCTTGCGCCCCGGGACGCCACTGGATTTTATAATCCCAATTGAATTATGGGTATATCAGCCCCTCATGACAAAAAATATCATTGCTGAATTTCAAGAAAATCGGTGGAAGGGTATTTGAGATATTCATGAAAAACTGATGTTTTACAAAAGTTTCAACACACTGTATGTTGAAAACTATGCATTTTCGGACCCACGTACATATGAAATAAATTTCTTATTTTATCATGTAGAATCACCCCCTTGATTTTTTGCGCATAATTTCCGGACACCCTGTATATTGGAAAAGAAGTGAAGAAGACACTTTCTGATGGACATTCGGGATCCTCATCAGGAGCCTTTATTCGTGGTAGAAGTATGTACAGTTCCTCATGACTCACCTTGTATATGGCGAGTCTCGAATTAGTAAGAACCGATGACGTCGAAACAGAACTTTCCACGATAACAGCTTATTGAGAAGATAATTGTATATAAATCTTCTGTCCGGATAGAACGAGAATATATTGTTTTATCCACAAATTCTTTCTCTCGTTTTTGCCGGCAAAAGTTCTCGATTGATAAGACGAGTGAAACTTAATCGCCGCTTGATGAATGAAATGAACCACCAAAGTTCTCTGGAAGCAGAAGGAAACAAAGAGAAACTATAATAGAATCAATACGACTTCGTCAAACTTAAGAAGCTTAAGAAATCTTTCGTAATTTCTAGGAACATCTAGAAATCATTATTGTAATAGTGCACAATGCGTCACATTCCATTTATCGTGATAATATTGTGAGGCAATGCTCTGCTATATGTTAATAATAAGGAGACTTTATTTTATAAGCATTCATAATTGATACAGGAGCAGCAGAACATTAAAATAAAAGATTATTTATGAACATAATGAGTCCTACATCTGATCCTGGAGGTACCCCGGTCTCAGCAAGTAGTTGAAAGCCTTCACAATGGAAGTGTGTGCAAGATAGTTGGTTGAAATACCTCTAGTGAACAGAAATAGAAACATTAAAACTGATTTAATCTTCTCCTGAAGAAGTTAACATATTTAGCAAAACACATGTCGAGGCGTAAAATAATCGGTTTGGGTAGTGGTGAAACAGTGTGTAGTGAATTAAGATAAGAGCAAGCTTCATTTCTTGAAAATGACAATTGAATGGCTTCCATCATCAGAGATCAACTGGTGACCTGCTCGCTTACGTCTCACAAATGTGACAGTAATCTTTTGAGATATTTGGTGAAACCTTAGCCGATCTCACTGTGCCCAACATGAGCTTGTCAGGAGTAACCATACCTTTGAAGACATCCAGTTCGATGCTTGGTATAACTATCAGCAATAACCTTTCTTGGGAAAATCACGTGAGATCAATTGCTAAAAGTGCATCCCGAAAACTTGGTTTTCTGTTTCGGGCCAGGAGCTATTTCACTTCCAGTCAGCTGCTTATGATCTATAAGGCACAGAACCGACCTGTTTCGGAATACTGTTCCCATATTTGTAGTGCAGCACCCAAACATAACCTGAAACTGTTGGATTCTGTCCAAAAAAGGGCAATTCGTCTCGTGGGTGATGCCTCGCTCACAAACTCACTCACTTCTCTGGAACACCGTAGAAAAGTTGGCGATCTGGCTCTATTTCATAGACATTTTCATGGACGATGCTCTTCTGAAATATCAACAATAATTGTTCCTCCCTTAGCATTCCCTGCGAGATTGACCCGTCGAGTTGAGGCTTCGCACCCCTTCGTGGTTACTTTGGAGACCTGCAGAACATCTCTCTCCTCAGAGACTCGTTCATCCAACGAACAGCGAAGCTCTGGAACACATTGCCAAGGGAGGTTTCTCCTGAGGCATATAACCTCCAGAAATTCAAGAAGAACACCAATTCCTACTTCATTTCCCTTGGTTCTCACGATGTTCTTTCTTCTCCCAAAAAATAGTAGGTCTGAGGGGTAAGTCAATTTTTTATTGAAACAGATCTTAGGAAATTTTTTTGTAGGACGACCAGGAATGCTAAGTGACTACTGGCTACACCTCCCCAATCTAAGATTCCATATGACAATCTTCACTAACGCATGGTAAGATAATTATAAGATTATAAAGTATATTTCTCACAGTTCCTGCCGTTTTATAATGTGCGCATTCCATCTCAGATGTTCATGTATGTATATACCTAAGTATTTGACAGAATCAGAAGAGTTTCATTGTATTTTATTTATTTCCAGGTGGTAAAAATCTGGAAGGTGAGAAGAGTAAGAAGAGAATGCAAGAACGATGTTTTTTCATAGGTAATTGTTAATTTTCTCTGATTGAAACAATCTATCATTTCACTCATGTCATTCTCAACATAACTCTTCAGTATTTTCCATGATTCATCTTCATAAAATATTGCCGTGCCATCTGCGAAGCTTTTAATATCTCCGGTGGTTTGTGTGGTGAGTATGTCATTCATGTATATTATGAAAAGTATAGGGCCTAATACTGTTCCTTGAGGAACACCATATTCCACAATTCTTTCTTCACTCATACATATCAGAGTAGCAACGGTATGATGAAATTTTCCACAAACTTGGGTGTATTGAATAGAATCAATCGATGTATGGCGAGAGAATTATAATTATTATGCTCTCCCATCCTAACTTCTCCAGCATGTAACAATGTATCATCATTTCAATAGTTCATCACCGTTAAACACCATAACTGCGGTAATTTCCCACATTGGATATGTTATAATTCGAGCAAATATTGAAATATGTTGACGCAGTTGCAAATACAGGGTGGGCCGATGGAATCTTTCCACCCTACTTTGTAGGATTCGAAATCAGAGTTTTGGAAAACGCGCTCGAATACGTCAATTTCAGATTTGGGAGAAAAATATTTCTCATTTTTTTTCGCCACCGTATCCTCCACCCTGTAGCTGAAGGGTGAAAAACCCTCAAAATTTGCTAAGGGGAAAGCGGTCGTGCCAAACCTAATCACAAATCATAGAAAAACTTTTTGAAAAGAGAATGATTAAATACTTACAGAAACGTAATATACTGTCGCGATATCAATTTGGATTTCAAAGTTCAAAAAACACAACTGATGCCATTTTTTCATTGCTTGAGAATGTTTATATCAGTCTGAATGAGGGCGAGGTAGTAGCAGCAGTATTCTGCGATTTTTCGATAGCATTCGATTGTGTTGATCACAGAATACTGCTGGAAAAACTACATTCTTATGGATTCAGATGGTTTGAATCATACCTTCTTGAAAGGAAACAAACCGTTTAAATTTCTAGCGAAACTTTTGGCTTCTCACATGTCAAATCAGGAGTTCCTCAAGGATCAGAGCTTGGCCCAGTTCTATTCCTATTATACCTAAATGATCTAACAGGCTTACCAATCACGGGAAAATTCACTCTATTTGCTGACGATACTACCCTCCTTTGGCATGGACATAATGTAGGAATGGCGAAGTGAAATCTTGGTGCGATTCGAACTCTCTATATGCTTCAAATATTATTATCTTCAAATTTGAGTTTGAAAATCTGACATTGGGTACACACCAAGTTGAAAACTGAATAAGTACCAAATTCCTAGGTATTTATATTGACAGAAAATTAGGGTTTTAAGAACATGTAAAGTCACTAAAAAAAAATTAGCATCAGGTTGCTATGCCATTAGAGTTGTATCAAATGGTCTTGGTCCTGCTATTGCCAGAAACACGTATTTTTCTCTCATAGAGTCTCATATCAGGTACGGCATAGCCTTCTGGGGTTCTTGTAAACAAAATTTGTTGAATTCTGTCTTTATTCTACAGAAGAGAGCGATTCGCTATTTGCGTCGGGCTAAAGCAAGGGACTGTAGAACACTTTATATCAGTCTACAAATTCTCACTCTTACCTGCCTCTTTATTTTGGAAACAGTCAGTTTGATCCACACCAGACATCATTCAGCGAACAAAAACCTGGTGAATCATATTATGTCCACTAGAAATAACAGTCACCTGTCTCTGCCGATACCGAAGATGACTCGAACAAAAAATTCCATTGAATATGCTTGCTAGAAAAATTCAAAGGAACTGGCTGCATAAAAAAAATCAGAAAGGAGGAGCAGAAATATTACAACGAAAAGTTTTGAAGTCATGTATAATCTATTTCTATAATTTATTTGTTGATTTTTTAACTTTTATGTTAGGTACCTAGTTGGCGTTGTATGTGTTATAAATGTTATGCTTTTAGGGTTTTTTGTAGTTGTTTTATACCCTTGTATTTGTGTTATTCATTAACTATATTTTTTGTCCATATTTTATATATCTTTGAACAAATAATTGGACATAGTGGATCTATCCACTTGCTAGTTTCACGCTTTGTCAATAGGAAGAATGTTTCTTGGACAATAAAGCTCAGTTTTGATTTGATTTGATTTGATAAGAGTTAGGACACAGCTGAACTTCTGTCCTTCTCTATTTTTTATATAACAATGGTTTGAATGAATGAAAGAATAAGAATGCGATGAGGATAATTACTTCGAATAGGGATATGGAAATTATATTTATCCAAACAGGTTATATGACTTTACTTCGATTTAAGAAATTTCAGAAAAATTTGATTTTTCATGCTCTCTCTTTGGATATTCAACAAATATGT